CACAAGTCCTTTTCTCCATTAATTAACAATTGATATCAATTAGTTAGCCAGACTTAATTAGATTTTAGAAAAAGGTATTTAATAAGGATATGAATAAGAACAGTTGGTACGAAACGTTGCTGCCCAAAAGTCTGTAAAAAATTCTCCCACAAAGTATTATACGGAGTCTGGGAAAAGGTGGTGAAGGTGTAGCTCACAGGTCCTAGGTGTTGAAAATCTTATTTTCTACTTTTCTGGGGTACCCATAAAATTCCTCCTGGGCTTGGAGTGGCTTTCTATTGTCAGCTATGTGCCTCGGTACTGGTAGGACTACAAAGGGAAGTCCAAAATTCTCTGAACCTTCCACATTCATCTTGGGGAGACTGAGGCTACCACTTCTTCCTCTCCTTGGAGGCCCCCAGGGTTAGTCTTTTCTGGGGCTAAACTGGAACAGTACTCTCCTCTATGGTACTAGACACAGGAATGCAAACAAGGTGTTGGTTTTATATAAACCCCACAGAGTATGACTGAGTCTTTTTGACTAACCTGACTATTCCTTCTGTCAATATCTCTCCATTCCATCCAGTGGCTTTCTCTTTCAAAATTGATCAAGGCCTTTTCACATCCAGTCTAATCAGTCTGTCCATTAACAAGCATTCATTAAAGACTGATCTTCCTGAGTTCAAATCTGGCCTCAGACACTTACTAGTTGTGTGACCCTGGGCAGTGACTTAACCCTATTTGCTTCAGTTCCTCATCTGTAAAATGAGCTGAAGAAGGAAATGACAAACCACTCCAGTATCTTTGCCAAGAAAACCCTGAATGGGTCACTAAGAGTCTGACAGGACTATATTAACTGAACAACAACAACAACATATTTATTTTGAACAGTGCTAAGCACTGTAGAGACCAAGAAAGGCAATGCCTGTCTTTAAGAAATTCACATTATAATGGGGAAGACAGCCTTCATTGATTGATTGATTGATTGATTCTATAAGGATATTCTCCTCTGTTTAATATAGCTATTTTAAGTATGATGAGGTGATTGATTAAATTGAGATGTCTAGGCTTCATTCACACTTCGTGTGAAACAGTCAATACCTATGGTTGATCCAATTGAGAGATCTTTGTGAATCCCTTCCTTACACACAGCATCAATCTTTCCTTTCAAACTTTCAACTATGCCCCTTAAACTTATTTCAGTGATTTTTTTTAAGTTTGGACCTGTTGATTCTGGCCAAATAGATTCAACTAAATTCTCTCTCTCTCTCTCTCTCTCTCTCTCTCTCTCTCTCTCTCTCTCTTTCACTCTCCCCCTCACTCTTGATAGTTTTTGTTTATTTCTTCCATTTGTACCCCTTCATTGTCATTTTATCTTTTTCAAATTTGCTTTATATCTCCATCGTTGTGGGAGAACCTTCAGGTATATCTCTTGTCTCGTTCCCTTCTAGATAGGTAAGTGAAGATATGTTCTTTCAACTCATTTGTTCCTGGCAGATAAGTGCTTGAGGGTGATTCTAAGATAAAATCTCTAAACACCTCTAAGCAGAGAAATTGAAGATAGTTTACTTCAAAGTGCTTCTTTATGTATTTATCTGCAAATTTATTGTCCAGATTTATCATCTTAAGTAGTGTCACATTCCAGAAAGGTGAGAACTACTTCTTTCTCAAAGAATGAAACAGATTAAGTATGTAAACATAGTCACTCTTTTGAGCCAGCTGGCCTATTTAAATGATTGCAAAATAAATAAATAAATAAATAACCTTTGACAAAAACATCTCCTTCCTTTGCTCACTTTTGGCCTAAATTCAAAAAGTGAATGATGAATCAAACTGATCTTATGAATTAGAATGAAATAATAAAATCATATAAACTTAGAGGTGGATTAGACTTTTGAGATCATTGGTCCCACCCTCCTTCTTTTACAAGTGAAGAAAATTGAAACTCAGAGAGATAAAGCAGTTTATTGAAGGTTAAACATAATAAATAGCCAGGCTGGGATTTGAACTCCCCTACTCCTCTAAATCTAAATCCAGTTCTTTTCCACTTTACCTGACAGAGAGACCATAATTACTTTCACTTTACAGATACATGTGATTTGAGTAAGACTTTTTTTTTTTTTACTTTACTAGGTAATTGTCTCAGTCCTCTATTTTCCTTTCCATATTCTTCAATCAACTAAGCTTTTGTGGTTGTTCAGTCTTTTCAGTCATGTCTGACTCTCTGTGACCCCATTTGGGGTTTTCTTGGCAAAGATACTGAAGTGATTTGCCATTTCCTTCTCCAGCTCATTTTACAAATGGAAAAACTGAAACCAACAGGGTTAAGTGACTTGCCCAGGGTCATACAGCTAGTAATTGTCTAAGGTTGGATTTAAACTCAGGTCTTCCTGACTCTAGGCTAGCCCTCTCTCCACTGCACAATCTAGCTGCCCCTTCCTCCCAAATCTGTTCTTCTCCAGACTTGCTTCTTTTTCTTAATAGTACCTTAGACATAGGTGTAATTCTCAAAGTCACCCAAGGTCCAGGCCTCGTTGTCTGCTTTGACTCTTCCCTTTCTTCAGTCCATATTTAATCAGGTTTCAAGCTCATTTGGCTCAGTCTGCACAACATCTTTTGAATGCTTATCCTCATTTCCATTTCTAATGAAACCAGCCCATTTCAGAAGCTCATTACGTTTCACCTGAACTATTGCGGTAGCTTCATATCCATTCATTCTCTAAACAGTTATTCAGTGCCTACTGTGCACCAGGCATTATTCTATGAAAAGATCCTTGCTCATTTCCTTGTTGGTTTCTTTGCCCATAATTTCTCTTTTCTCCTGTCTGTCCTACATACCATTACAAGTGTGGTTTTCCTAGTGCAGAGCTTTGGTTATGTTAGAGACAAGCTTGAAAGAGAGGCCTTGAGGCTTAATGGATAGAGGTCTAGCCTTGGAATCAGAAAGACCTTGGTACAAATCCCACATCTAGCAGAAGTTGGCTGAATTACAATGGCAAGTTTCTTAACCCCTAAATTCTCGAGGTATCACTAAGATTACAAATTGCAGAGAAGGTGCCATCTCCCAGTGGTAGAAGTGAATGGACAAAAGGAGTCAGTAATCTCACCTGGGAGGTACATTTTCCCCTTTTTCAGTGAACTCCCAGATCTACTCCTAGTCTTTATCTGCTCAAAAATCTTTAATGGTTCCTACTGAATAAGGTACAATTTCCTTCACGTGGTATTCAAGGTACTCCATTATCTGGTTCCAACCTTGTACCTTTTGATACTTTACTCATTCTGCCACCACACACTCAATGTTTCAGCTTCCAAACCTTTGGCTCCATGAATTTATGCCACCCTTTCCCACTTCTTGAAATACTAGCTCAGGCCTGGGAAACCTGCGGCCTCAAGGCCACATGTTGGCTTCCCCACTAGCCATCCTTCAAAGCCCAGTTCAAACACTACCTACCCTTCTCCCCTGAAGCCTCCCTTGATCCACCTAGCAGAAAATAATCTCTCCTCAAATTTCTGATAGCATTGTTGGGCTGTCTCTCAATATTTAGTATATTCCCTTTTGTGTTGCAGTTAATTAGGTATCATATCTTTTCATCTAGAATCTAAGCTGAATGATGCAAAGCACTATGCTATGTTTGTCTTTGTATCCCTTGGAGATTAGGACAGTGTTTAGTATATTTAGGCAATGATAGGGAGGGCAGAGAGAGGAACAGCATGTTCATAAGTACAAGGAATTCTAGATATGGAAACTCCCTCCACCTATGCAAATCCACAGCTCATCTGTATTTTGAAGTTTTAGAGAATTGCCTCAGGCACTGAGAAGTTAAAAGACTTTGCCTATGGTCAATGGTTAACATGTTTGAGAGAGGAGACTGGAACCTAAGGCTTCTTGACAAAACTGGACCCCTATCTACCACACCACGTTTAATAAATGTTTGCTGAATTGAATCAAGGTAGAAGGAAGGAAGTATTCATTTAGCCGCTTCTATGTGTCAGGTATTTTGCTAAGCACTTTACAAATGTAATCTCATTTGATCCTCACAATAACCCTGGGAGGTGAGTGCTACTGTGATCTCCATTTTACTGTTGAGGAAACTGAGACAGGCAGAAATAGCCAGAGTAACTCAGCTAGTAAGTGTGTGAGCCCAGATTAGAATCAAGTCTTTCTGACTCTAGGCCAAGTGCTCCATTCAATGAACCATTTAGCTCTGTTTAGTGATTACCTTTCTATATTCCCAGCACTCTGCTGATGGGAATAAAAGAGAAGTATTTATAGTGCTTTGGAAAACAACTCACAATATCATTGGAGAGACCAAATTAACTAACTTTCATATGAGTAGGGCTCTTTTCCTTGCTCTTATAGAGACTGCATTCAAAGACAGACATAGTAGCATGAACATATGCAGGAGCTGAGTAACAAAACATCCAGAAAAAAAAGACCAAAAATAACTATCAAATAGTCATCTTTTGTTTACCCTTAAAAATTAGATAATAACCAGAGTAGCATAAATTCTGTTGAATGCCTGATAATGTATTTCTTCTCTGCTTTAAATAAGAATATTGAATTTCATTCTATATAAGTAACTTTTTTTTTTTGCTTTCTCCTATAAATATTTAGTTATTTGTCTGGAGCTTAAATCTGCCCAATTATATCTGATTAAAGAAGAGCATGATTTCACTTAAGGAATTCAGATATAGGGCTTCATTTCTACCTCATACCCATCCAACTCTGCAAGTGCTACCATGGGGGCTTTATGTATATATTAACACTTTGCAATGGTACTATTTTAATGGCTTCCTCTCTCTCCTTCTCCTCCTTTTTTTTTTTTAGGCTTCATTCTGTTTTTTGAATCCTTTTACTTTGGTCCTTTGTTTTCATCTCAGATAGAAAAGTTAAGAGTATAGCCAGAATATTCCTATGTAATTTTACAAATATTCATTTTAGCAATGTGATAAAAGTGATTTTTTTTTACTTTGTGTTTTATTTATAATGTGGTAACAGTCCTTTGGCTCTCTTCTTATAGGTGCGTGTGCAACATTGACTGCTCTCAAACCAACTTCAATCCCCTTTGTGCTTCTGATGGGAAATCTTATGATAATGCATGTCAGATCAAAGAAGCATCATGCCAGAAACAAGAGAAAATTGAAGTCATGTCTTTGGGTCGATGTCAAGGTAATGCTTTTACCAAAATTTATTTTAAAGAAATTTTCAATCTTTGAGCAGAAATAAGAAGAGAAGACAGTTTATTTTTAAGCAACTCTTACAGTTCCAAAAGACACTTCTCATTTAATGTACAAAATAAAATCTAGGGTAGTGAGGATTAACTCAATTATAGAGATCTGGGATCATATCTACAGCCATGAGCATCTTTTCTTATGCGATGTGCACTAGATTTTCATGGCAATGTTTTATCTTTTCAATATGGCAGGCTAATGCTTTCCCCAAATTTTTCCCTAAAAAATTCAATTCAATTCAGTTTGCATCAACAAACATTTATCAGCTAAATTTCATATTCAATGAAACTGGAAAAAATCTAAATAGTTATCTCAGGAAAAATTTCTTGATTCTTTATGAAATAATTTTATTCAAGAACATTCAAGTTAAGATCATAATATCATGACATTTTCTATGTACTGATTGAGTAAAATAATTTCAAGCACATTTGTTATAAATTAAGAAACAGGGTTTTTTACTCATTTATTCCCTTAAAATCCAGCAGTTTTTTTAGGTTTGACTTATAAAAACAGGACAACTATTTTCAGACATCATTGTATACCTTCTTCATAGACCTGAGAAAATCTTTAAAAATTAACATCTATAAAAATTATGTTATTCTTTTTAGTCATGTTTAAACAGAGACAGACACTGAAAGTTGGTTTGGGATCATAATCACAACAATGCCTTAGTTTTACAAAGATATTGCCATAGAGAAAAATTAATTTTGAAATCAAATAACCATCCAACATAATCAGTCAATCCTCATTTTTATGTATGCTCTTTATCATAGATAATACAACCACTACCACTAAATCTGAAGATGGTCATTTTGCAAGAACAGATTATGCAGGTATGTACAGTTTCAGCTATTCACATATGATTCCTTCTATAAAACATTTCTTATAGACAACTTCATATGGTCAGAAGCTTATTGTTCACATCTTATATCCTTCAAGTTTTTAATAGGTTAGTTTTCATTGAAGCAAATGATACATACCTCCCCCTCCCCAGTTAAATCAATTGTCAAGAATGTCAGAAAGATATAATTAACTTGTTTTGACAGTAAAAATGTTGCAACTGACAAAACATTTATCAAATTAATGGGCACCAATGGAAATTAATGCAGGTTTTGGCAGCACATTGGAATATATGCAAATGCTCTAGTATATTTTTATTTTGCTTTTTTTCATAAAAATCAACTGTAAAATATAGTTTTGCTATTCCCTGCAATAAAAGGGCTAGAATAGAATTGTGTCCTGAGAAAATTCTCTAAATAGACTATAGCTCGCCTCAGTTGAGATGCAAAGCTAATAAGATATGTATAATCGATTTTTTTAAAATGATAAATGTCTTTAATTTATTTACAAGCTAAAATATAGCTTCTAAGTCATATAAGCTTATAAAGCATTTTAAATAAAAAATGTAAATGTTATTTAGAGACTATTGAATTTTGTTTCGAACAGTATCTTTCTCTAACCCACTTTGCTTAATATCCAGATTCATTTATGAATAATCTAAATGAGTGGGAATTTACTGGGATGTTCTAATTTCATAGGGTTTTGTAAAATTATGCCAAAGTATTTTTGTGAGTCTTTTTTTGTATGGAAAATAAGAAAGTGACATTAACGTTTTTGTGTTATATGAATTATGTTGTATATATACATGTGCTATACCATGGCTTCCTATTCAGCTGTAAATGCTTTACAGCTGAATTTATAGCCAACACTTATCCAAAAGACGAAGTGTACCTTATCTTTCAGGATAGTCATAACCAATCATTCTTTCTGAAGGTCTCTCTCCTTTAACAACCTTTTTCTATGGTTATGTGCATAAGAGGCACCCCCCCCAAAAAAAAAGAAAAAAGAAAGTCAACTACAATGTAAGTGAAAAATTCAGCCAATCACTTATGTTTTATATACATGTCACCCAATCTCTCAATATTAGAAACACCCAAATGATTGAATTTTTCAGGTTTCATTTGGCTGGCTGTCATCATATAGACAGCACCCTGTAATGTATTAAGGACTTAAGGTTATCATGGATAGCCATACAAAAAAGGCTACTTCTACATTTTTATATGCAAAATACTGAGCTAAATACAAATACATGCCCTGAGGCTAGCACTGCAGTGCATTTAAGAATTTTAATATAAATATGACATCTAATTAAGTGGATAAACAACTCCCAGATACATTTTGGAAATTATTCTAGAAATGTGGGTATTCTCATAGTGCCCTACTTCTATCAAGGGAATAACTTATTCATCAATCTAAAAAACAAAAACAAAAGCAAAAAACTCAGCAATCACTTTTCTTTCTGTGCTTGATTTACTTTGACAGACTTGAAGGAATGTTTCCAGACTTCTCTTGTAGCATATGATGGTCACAGAACTCTCCATAATGTGGTCAGTGCATGAAACACAAGAAAACTCATATTTCAGCCTTAAATCTTGGCAGTAAGATGAAGAACTCTTTCAACTGATCTATTTTAAAATGCAAATATATGTGCCATTTAATAATGCTGCACCAGCAGCCAGGGCTGTTATTATCTCAGGGCTGCCACTGATTGCATGACAACATTTAGTCCATTTTAGATAGGTTCTGCAATTGATTTTGATTCTAAAAGGAAATAATATACAGGTTTCAAAAACAGGGTCTGTGCATTTTGATATCTGTGCTTTTACTTCAACCATATTTTTTTCAGTCTTTTTTTTTAAAAATATGTGCTTATGTTACTAAGCATAGTAAAAGTGAAAGAAAGCTGGCAAGGTTATTCCTATCTGTACATATGCTTCAAGTCCCAAACCTTGTTTATCTAACAAATCTCAATGGAAAACTCTTAAGATAAAAAGCAAAACTTAAAACTATGTTTAAGTATTTGCTATTCTTAAACATTCTAATTTGAGAACACAGAGGGTAATGAGGAAAGGAAATTAAAACTATACATCTAATAATGAAACAAATGTGATTCTGGAAATTTTCCATCAACCAATGAGCACAAGTCTGTGATTACATGACCAGTACCATGCTGATTAGGTAAACTGCACCCTCCATCAGCAATAATTTTCCATCTAAGCAGTCAGTACAGCCTATCTATATGATGAGTACTTGGCCAGAGACATAAGTGTTTCTTATTGAGCCAAAGTTTGTAGATGACTTAATTGATTTGACCAAAAGTTACACTCCAAATGGTTTTCCAAACCCAATTCTTTAATTTTAAATACTAGATGGAGGCCTCCATCCAAACTATGTCAGCTATTCCATGCTTCTCTAGTCTTTTCAGGTATGTCTGGCTGTTGAGGTGAATATCCCAGCTTAGACACTACAACTGTCATACTGCCAAATAGAGCAACCACTGGCCTTCACTACTTAGGAAGGCATCTACTGGAGAAGTTTGGCTAACAACAATGAAATAATAGCTGAGATTGATAGGGGGCCATAAAGGGTTTACATACTTATCTCACTTGATCCTAAGTGCCAAAGGATAATAAGATTTAGTGCCAAAATAAACCACACAGATCATTCAGCCAAACCCACTTCATTTTACAGATGAATAAACTAGTATCATCATGCTTACATTATATTATGAAGAAAAGGTTATATTTTGTTTAGTCTATTGTTTGCTGGGAAGTATGTGATATGAACATTAAGGGTAGGAGACTATATATAGATATATGTATGTGTATATGTATATATGTATTATGCATGTGTAGTATGTATCTGTGTGTGTTCAGTCATTTTAAGTCTTGTCTGACTCTTTGTGATCCCATCTGGGGTTTTCCTGGCAAAGATACTGGAGTGTTTTGCCATTTGCTTCTCCAGCTTGTTTTACAGATGAGCAGATTGAGACAAACAGGGTTAAATGACTTGCCTAGGGTCACACAGCTAGTGCATGTCTGGGGCCAGATTTGAACTCAGGAAGGCAAGTCTTCCTGACTCAGGTCCCAGCAATCTACCCACCTAGCTGCCTCTGTGTATGTTTCAGGGAACAGCTAATAGTACAATTTGTCTAGAAGGTAGTATGCTTTAATAAAACTGATATGAAATAGGGCTAGAAATTGAATTGAAGCCAGATTATATCTCACGGTAGAATATAAGCTTCTTGAGGGAAAGGACTATTTAATTTTGGACTTTGCATCTCAAGAATTGAACATGGTTTCTTGTGTGCCTCATAAATGTTTTTTGAACTAAATGCTAAGAAAGGGTAGACTGACTGTGTAGAATTTGATGTTAATGGAGTGAGAAGAGAATTACAGAAATATTGGAGAATAGCTTAAGAGGAAAATTCTGTTCATTGTAATGTGGAGAAAAGGAAAATTGATCCTTAAAAGGAAGTTGTGTGCTCATCTCTGGCACACAGATAGCCCACTGATGGAACAAATACATTTCACCCAGCTTCCTCTCATCTACCAATTTAGTTAACCTGTCTTTATTCTGCTCTTTAAATCATTGGTAGAAACTGTTGGCTAGAAAGAGATTATAGGATCATAGATCTAAAGCTGAAAAGGATCTTGATGGGGGTGGGAGGGGCAGAGATCTTGTTCAATCTCTTCTTTTTATGGATGAGGAAACTAAGAGCTGGGACATTAAGTCACATGCCTAAGGCCACACAGGTAGGAAGTGGTGGAGTTGAGATTTGAACCCAGGTCTTAATTCTCCAAAACTAATACTCTTTCTATTATACCAGCATTCTCCACTAGAGATCTCTTTCCAAGTTGACATCCATCTTTGGGTCTGGTCCTTCCACCCCTTCAGGATCTACTTAACTCTTCTCTCATCTAGCCCAAATGTCTTCATCTTATACAAAAGGGTGTGTGTGTGTGTGTGTGTGTGTGTATGTTTCTGCCCACATCTCCAGTAGAATGTAAATTCCATGACTTTCATTTCTGTATCTTCCACACTTAACACAACACCTTCCATATCATGTGTACTTAATAACTATATTTGGAATTAAATTAGTCTACTGAAGTAATTTGCCCAAGATGACTCAAATCATATCAGCTGAAATTTAAGCCCCCATCCTTTGACTCTCTATGAGGTTGGTAGGAAGAGAATAACTATCCTCATTTTATTGACCAATGAAACCAACACCAAGAGAAGTGAAGTCACTTAAGAGAACAATGTTGTTACTGTTTTGGGAGAAACAACATGTGACTGTGCTCTTCTTTGAGAGTTCTAGGTCTCTTTTGCCCAATGGCTGCAAAGCATTACATTCTTACAGTTGCCTTTTCTTTTGTAATAACCAACATAACAATAGCTAGCATTTATATAGCACCTACTATATGCCAGGCACTGTGCTAATCACTTGACAATTATTATGTCATTTGATCCTCACAATAACTCTGTGTGGTAGGTGCTATTATTATCCCCATTTTACATATGAAGAAACTGAGGCAAACAGAGGTGAAGTGACTTGCTTAGGGTTACATAGCCAATAAGTACCAGGGGCCAGATTTGAACTCAGGTTTGCCTGACTCCAGGTTTGTCACTCAATCCACTTCACTGACTAGTAAACACATTCTAAGATTTATGTTTCAGGCTGTTTCAATTTTTATCATTAGAAGCATGTGTAAATGTATTCACAACAATTAAGTAATTTAGAAAAACACTGGAGAGAGGGCAAGAGCGTTTAATGCGATGATTAAAAACCTATCAAGAAACAAACTCTTGGATGGGAGAGCATATCAATGATTATATTAATAGTAATAGTGGTGGTGGTGGTGGTGGTGGTGCTGGTACAGGTGGTGGTGGTAGTGGTGGTGGTGGTAGTAGTAGTAGTAGTAGTAGTAGTAGTAGTAGTAGTAGTAGTAGTAGTAGTAGTAGTAGTAGT